AAGGTATATCATCTCTTCAGAAGAGTGATCTGGTGTTCATGGCAAATCAGCAAAATCTCTCTTTCTCTCTTCTTCAATCAGACACCACTTTTACTTCCATTGTTGAATACAACTCATTTTATTCAGCTATCCAACTGTTTATCTTTTAGTTTCTTATTTACTAACAATACAGTAAAGTTAAAGTGAAATTTAAGAGCTTATCACCCCATCCCACTGCTGATGGAATAGTTTGTTTTTACTATATCAGAAATGTGGAATAATCAAATTTAAAATCATACTATAAGCCAAATTCTTTTGTTTTCAGTCAATACATAGCACATAAAAATGACAAAATTTGAGTTAAAATGTATTAATTACATTAATATGTTCATTATTTTTTGATTTTCAAAAATACAAAATATGAAAAAAAATATTTAAGAGTCCCCTATATTTAAAGAGTTAATCTCAGTTTTCTGTCTTGTTATTGAATTATCACAACAAGTAAATATTTCTAAAAATGCATTTTCATGCAAAAATAGTGGTAGTTAACAAAAAAATAATAAATAATTATGAATACTTCCATTTATAAATAACAATTAAAATAATGAAACCATACACTGTATGCAATCATAATAGTCGAGGATTAAAATAATACAAAAGTTGGGAAATCAAATATTTCTGAAAACGGTTTTTAATTTCACAACAACTTCTAATGACTTGTGGACTATTTGATGTTTAATGTACACTATAGTCGCTTCTCCTGATGAAGGTATAAACTCAGTTGTTGACTGTAGGATGAGTAGTTGGTTATATAATGTTGATGTTGATATGAAGGTCGGTGCAGCAGAGGTTATATAATCTCCAGGACCTGTAGAGGTCACTGGACTATATTGGCATCTCCCTCTCACCAATCACCAGCCACCACTGGTACCGTTAGCTTACCTCACAAACCCTCTATTATGTAATAATATAATATGGATAATAATTAGATTGTGATATCAAGGAATAAGAGTTTAAAATGGCTTCAAACATACTTTACAACAACAATCACTTAGATTGTTAGCCATTTATGTAGTTGGAGAGAAATCCCAGACACACTCAATAGGGAATTAAAGAAAGTAGAGTAAGACTCTCTAAATACTTCTTCTGAAAGGCGATGCATTGATGTTTTCTAGCTATATGTAAAGAAACATTTTCTTGTTGATAAATTAAGACAATTTAGAAGGTATTACATAATACAGAAATTTTACATATCCACATTACAAATTCCACTTCGCCAAGTTTTAAATTTTCTTTCTTTCTGACTTGATAACCTAATCATAATCACCAAATTTTATAGTTGAACATATAGGAATAAAAATGTTGGAAGGTAAAAATCACATCTGTTTTAGATTAAGTAAAAAGAGAACGTAATTTCATAACATAAACCCCTGTGTTTAATTTAGTTTGAATGTCCAAGTAAAATATATTATATCATTTACATTTTGACAATAGTATTGTTGTAGCTAACTGACTACTTTTATGCATTCTTTTTGCAGCAAAGTTCACTGAAAAATAAAGGTACTCTATACAAAAGAGTACCGTACTATAGTTGGCCAGTACAAAAAAATTACACTGAATGGATTGGAAAGGTAAAACTCAACAGTTACAAATCGTGCAATACAAAAAAATTAAAACAATAAAATTAATAGTTACATTTTCTATTCTGAAAAGTTCATAAGTTGTAAATTGGTATTCAGAAACCAAATGCAAAATTTCCGTTTACAAGTTCATTAATAGTTAATTTGTGTTTGTTATAAAACATATTTTTTAAGGTTATCAACCTCTTAAAGACTGGATACAGTGAAAGTTACCGAACAGTGTCTGTGATATTCATTCTACTGGTGCTACATGGTGTTTTCTGTATGGTGCTGTATGGTGTTTTCCGGTGCTACATGGTGCTATGGTGTTTTGTGTGCTATCTGCCAAGTGTTGTTTGTGTTTGACCTGTGACCTGCCTGGTCATGACTGAAGATTTCCTGCAGTTGATCTTTGATGATGATCTAGTCAAATCTCCAGATCTCCCTGAAACTGCTTTTGAGGCTTGCAGTTACTTCGTTGAAGATGTTGAATTTGAAACTGGTATGATTCTTAAGTCTTATTGTAGGATAAACTATTTTATCATTTTTACATAGTTATATTTTTGCATAGTTACTTTGAATGTGAGGGATTATTATTTATTTTTTTGGGAAATGTGTCATATTATGGATGATTATTTAACGTTTATAACTGTTACATTTGAGGAAATATTATTTATTTAAGTTTAACAGCATGACTGTACAAACCTTTAAAATTCCTCCCTTAATCCACTCTCTCTGTGACTTAGATAAGTGCCTGTTTAGTTTTAATCATAACTTTTTATTGGTTTTGGGTGTTTGTAGAAAGCAGGATTCATGTGCTTCCCTTTATCCCATTTTCTACAGGGCGTGTTCTCACAGTGATGCATTATATAAAATGATGTTCAAATCAATTAATTGGATTCTTATAATAGGATTTGTCAGTGCTTGTCATTTAGCACAAAACCAAGCACTGAAAATACAATGCTGGTATTATTGAGCCAGTAAGTGTGGCAAGTGCTGAAAGGACATTCAGCAGCCTTAAGCTCGTAAAATCTTGGCTACGTACAAGAATGGTTGAATGGATTATGTCTCTTCATGTTTCAAGTATAGGTGGCAGAGAAGGAAAGGACAACATTTTTTTTTTGTCTATCACCTTGACAATAAATAATCTTTTGATTATTACATACTTTTTAGGTTAGTTTAGTCTTAGATAAAGGTTTACCGCTGTTAAAGTAAAAAGACAATTTTTTTATACTTTTTGGAGTTTTTTAAACTTTTTTCAGGGGGAAATGGGTTTTTTAAATCTCTCATAACTTTTTAACTAATGAACCAATTTTATTGTTTGATGTCTCATCTTAAAGAGCAAAGAAGTAATAACTTTTTCTGCTTACTCATGTTTTTTCTTAATTAGTTTAATAAATAACTTTAACAAAATTCCTATGCAATTAGTATTTTATTTAATATTTTTGTTCATATACTTGTATTAAACCTATTACAATATCCATGGACAAAAAGCTGCTTTATAATATAAACAATGTGTGTTAAAAATTTCATTTGTATACCTTTAATAGTTAAAAAGTTATAAGAATTTATATGTAAAAAATAACAACGTTTTAAAGTTGCGGAAAACAGCGGTTGAAGTTTATACTAACCAGCTGCCTGGCTCAGTCTGATGCCTGAAAACAGGTGTGCTCGCTCCACTTCAAATATTTTTTTCACAGTGGTAAAAATATAGATTAGGTATACCATATGTTATGTTTTTCTGAAACTTTATAGAACAAGAAAAAAATCATATTTTTACAAAATTAGTCATTTTCAGTAGCGACTCCCCTTAAGTAGATAAAGTGAGTACTGGGCGTCCAAAAATAACCCAGTTACCGATACGGTAATAGAAAATATTTTGACTTGTGGGCTGCCTAACCAGCTTCCTAACACCTGAGGATCTAGCTAGACTACTGTATTGTAATGGGAAAATATGTTGTAATAACCATGTTTATGCATATTATTTATCCCACCTGTCTACCCAAGCAACAGCCATTCAAAATCCTGGCATTCCTTTTGGAGGCTGTAAGTGGTAAACGATTTGTCCAAAAAATAGTCCAAGAATCTACTAGTGTGGAAGTATGAGGTGCCTTGACAAATTAGCATGCTGCGTACTATTTGCTGTACTAATTTGAAAGTAGCTCAAGAACAGGTTTTGATAACTGGCAAGGTCAGGTTCCTACTGTATTAGTTTTGATTCTAGACAGAACTAATAAGTGTGAAATAATAGTAAATACCCCCGCCGCAGCAAACCTGCCGACTAAGCGAATTTCCATTTGTCTGAATTGATTCAGTTAAATATATTTTAATAACATTAGGTTTAACGAGTACCTAGGTTTGCTGCTACAAGGAAACTAATAAAGTGTGTTTTTGAGTAAAATATTGATAGCTTAGTACAAAATAAATAAATTTGCCAAGTTTGATCAAAATATATCCACAAACAAGCAAACTACAACATTTGACAAATTTTCCATAAGAATAACATGGGAATTTTAAATTTAAAATTTTTTTAATTTTCTCCGTTACTAATAATCGAACAAAAATACTTTTGTATACTAAATTATTTGTTTTTTTAAGCTCTTTAATAAGGCCTAAAGAGAAATCGGGAAATTTTGTGTTTTGAGGGTCAAAAGTGAGAAAAACCAATTTTTACCCCATAAAACCCCCCGTAAAGCCCCGTTCCCATGGTCCGATCGTGCTGGTTCGCGAACTCATTCAAGTTTATCCCGCTTTACACCTTTAAACCAAATTTCATCAAAATCGGACAAAAATTACTCAAGTGATCGCGTTCACGGACGTATATATATATATATGTCTATATATATATATATATATACATATATAAAAATTTGAACGAATGGTGTTTTTGGCCTCTGGGGACATCAAAATGAAAAAGTAAATCGGTCCCGGGTCTAGGTCTTACCGTGCCACCTACGGTAATAGCTACTTCCCTATAGGGAAATTCGCTAAAATTTGAAGTTTATTAAAATAATTGTCAATACTCACTTTTTATCTGCAATATATAAAGTGTATTATATAAAAGTGTAATATATAAAGTATTTTATCATGGTCATGCAATAAACGGCCAAAACTCAATTCCTCTCTACTCTGGGCTACCCTTCTCCATTAGCATGGTGATTATTCAGTCAGTTCCTATCGTAAATGGAAAATGGTTCCAAAACGCAGAACATTTTTACACAGTGTAAAATGAACACAACGAATATTCTTCTGTAAGCTGAAAGCTCTTCAGCATAATCAATTAACCAACCTCCAATCTACAAGAACTTAAGGTGATGTCAAAAAGAATTAGGAAAAGGAAAGTACTGGAAGAATTGGCATATCTATTAGACTATTTATCTAAAGCTGTTGTCTGTTTTGCAGATTCCAGAGAACAAGTGCGTCACAACTTCCACCAATCTCTGAGAGAAGCTTGTAGTAATGGAGACATTGCTCTGGTGAGGTCTCTCATCTCTCAACTGAGCTCAGAGGCTGAACTGGTGGTCAACATGGCTCCCAATGGCTCCAACACGCTGCTTTATACGTGAGTATCCTCAATCCTCACATGTTAATACGTGATACATGTTTTAGATTGTGTTGTGACAGTGGCGGATCCTAGGGGGGGGGGGGGCAAAGGGGGCAATTTGCCCCCTCCCACCAAGAATTTGAAAACAAAAAAAATTGTGATTTGTTTCTAATATCAATTCAGGTTAACGAGTGCCACTGAGTCACTGTCACGCAAAACAGATAGAATAATATTTATCAAATCAGTGCCATAAGACATTAAATTTACTTGCTGGAAAGCTACGGGGCGCAGGCTCTAGCAGTATAAATTAGAAGCCTACCTAACTTTGGCCGCTGAGTCTAGATCGTGTGCAAAATAGTTCCTTAACCTTATCCATTCTGCATCGTTGTTTTACTTAGGTTGGTAATGTTTTTGTGTTGAGCTGTAACTGAGACTGCTGATGTTATGAAACAAGCTACCAAAATGACATTGTCCTTCAAATAGTTAAAGGCAACGCCAGGTAAGCTTACTCTATTTCATATGTCATCATAATGATAGTTAGTAGGTTTAATAGTTCACCTACACCTAACAACATAACCTTCGATTGGTGCTCGTCCATGACAGATCTAGAGCATGTGAAAACTCTTTAAAAATTATTCATAAAGCTATGCTATACCATGTTAAGACCTACTAACCACCTCTTAAAAGCTGGGCGTTTAGCGAAAAATGCCCAGAGTAGTAAAAACCCAAAGGCATAGAGAAAACCATGAAGCAGAGTCAGTGATGGAATATTATAGAAAGTCCATGTGCATTCCCCTTCTCGACCATGTCATCAATGATCTACAAACCAGATTCTCCAAAGAAAATCTGTTGTGCTTCGACCACAACCTTTTAATGCCAGCAAGTATATTCAACAATGTCAACAAAAAAGGTTTAAAGTTGAACGAGAGACTGCATAAAGTTTTCAAAACTTTAAAACTCTTTTGCCTAATGATTCTGAAGCTGTATTTGAAGGGGAGTCAAGCATTTGGAGAGCTGAGTGATCAAGGGAGAAAGAAGAAGGAATGAAAAATCCTAACTTTGCCATAGAAGTGTTCAAATGCTGCGAACAAGATATATTTCCAACTATACGAACTCTTCTACAAGTACTCATCACACTACCAGTAAGTGTGGCAAGTGCTGAAAGGACATTCAGCAGCCTTAAGCTCGTAAAATCTTTGCTACGTAAAAGAATGGTTGAAGTCAGGTTGAATGGATTATGTCTGTTATGCATACATCACAATTTTGAGGTGAATGTTGAAAACGTAATTTAGCGTTTTGCTAAAGGAGGAAAAAGAAGGCTCGACTTGGAACTTGTTGTTTAAGTTTTATGGAGAAAAGTTTGTAAATAATAAATTTAAGGTTTGAACCTTCAAATTGGTCTTTTGTGTTTTTATTTCCCTTATCAAGTAGACTATTGTAAATAGATCTAATTAAAAACTATAGATTTAAATTGCAAAAATAATCAGGACTTTGTCTCTAGTTGGACTACTAACACGAGTTTTCAGTTTAAATTTTCCAAAATTTTCCGGGGGTGGACCCCAGAGCCCCCTCCAATGGGGGGTTATCCTTACCCCCCAATCCCCAAAGATTGCCCTCATCATCGAACTTGCCCCCCCCCCCCCCCCCGAAATAATGCCTTGGATCCGCCACTGTATTGTGAGCTTGGTAGTGATGACTCAAGTTTGCAGTTTACATGTTTAAGTTCATGATGCTCAAGTTGCTCTGGCTACATGTTTATAATGTGATACAACATTGCAGAGCATGTGAGCTTGGTCGTAATGACTCAAATTTGCAGTTTACATGTTTAATTTCATGATGCTCAAGTTGCTCTGGCTACATGTTTATAATGTGATACAACATTGCAGAGCATGTGAGCTAGGTCGCAAAGACATAGTGAAGGCACTGTTAGATGCTGAGGCTGATGGTCGTATTCACCCTGTCACTCGCTATTCTCCTCTGTACATCGCTTGCTTCAAGGGTCACAAGGACGTTGCTGAACTTTTACTCAAGGTAAATATCTATCCAACTAGCCTAATAAGAACTTAACATTAGGAATATTTTAAACTGTGATTTTATTCACAAAATGAAATAACGTAAGGGTTTGTTATTTGAAATCATTACTTTGCAAATAAGTGTATTTTATAAAGCTCACTTTCTGATTCCACTATATGAATTTAAGGACTTGAGTGTTAATTATTCCATGCTGTATGCGGCCTGAGAATTCAAACACTGATCTTTAGGATTTCAACAACTTATAGATAGACTATTTTGAACAACAACAAAACAAACAACATCACAACTATTTAAGGATGTTCAAATAATTTATAAAACTGTTTATACTTATTCACAAAAGCTCAGTAAAAAGGATGTACTATGTGGTATGTCCCATATCAAGCAAGGTATAGTCTTCAAAGTACCGGTACCGGTACCCATGCTGTTTCACCCATAAATTATATTTATTTTGTATCTTTTTTAAAAAACCATGAAAATGGTATATGCTGCTTTGGGCATTGTAAAATGTAATAAACAAATAAATAACTGTTGAACTCTTATAAAAAGGTGTCCTACTGATTGTAAAACCAGAAATTGTTTTGGCTACTAAAAATTCTACGAAGTATTAATCATGTGCTGGAAAGTTTTGAATTATTATCATTATGGCATGTTACATCATTATTGTGGTCTGTTAGTTGTTTTTTCACATCGTTGTGTCAAGTAACTAAATCATGGGAACAGATCTTGATATTTCCCAGTCATTGGAAAAACATGATATTCTGCAATCGCAGGAGAGGTACTTGACATTGCTGGGGTTCTGGAATGAACAGTTTTAATAGTAGCTCCAATAAAGGTTTTGTATATTTAGAACGGTTTTACTTTTGGGACTACTCTTTTAAAGATTTTGATGTGAGAATTGAAATTTGTGGATTTTATAATCACTAATATAATAACTAATGATTGGTCGGTTTTTAACGTCGGTTATTGGTTTTAGCCTATCAGTTTTAACAAAAAAATCAAACTGAATATTTAAATAAAGATCAGTTTTGGATTATCGGTTACTGTGCAATCATATTTTGCGACGATCGCTGGTTCGTTAGAAGTAATAAAATGTTAATCAGGTGTTTGTTTATGACTTTCATAATTTATTAGTACTATCTGTGGTGACGACGATGAATTATACCCAAAATCCAATGATAAAATAGGCCTACACCATAGTAATCTAAAGGGAAGGTTGGGAATAGAGAATAGGGTGCTATACTTTGGAGGATTTTTCAAAGGACAATTTATATGTTTTTATTAATTCATATAATTTCCGACAGTTTTTTTTATGTAGGCTATCTTCATCACGTTAGAGTATGTAGGCTATCTTCAATTTTTTAAGTAGTTATGTTTATTTGATAATTTTGTAGACTTTAATTCAACATGTTTACTGTTTTGAATTTTTATTTGTGTCCTCAATGAGTTTTTGACGATGTACCTGTTTGTGTCACCTTTGTAATGATTAAATTTTAGGTGCAAATGAATGGTACTTACTAATAAATTATAAGACTTATAAATTACTTATGACTTATAAAAGTGAAGTAAAAAATATCAGTAAAGTCACAGAAAACGTACTACTATAACCCAGAATGCCAACCGCATAGTAAAAAGCATTAAGTGTTTTGAGAGAGCTTTGCCTGTCAATCCGTAGGCAGCGCCACCAGCGTTGCTATGCAATAGCATGGCAACGCTGGTGGCGCTGCCTACGGATTGACAGGCAAAGCTCTCTCAAACCGCTTAACAGGGCCGGAACAAGGGGGGGGGGCAGAGGGGGCGGTTGCCCCGGGCGGCAGGGTTGAGGGGTGGCAAATTTCTGGTTGCAGTAAATTTGTTTAATACAGTTTGTAAAAAGTTTTTAATGAGCCGAACGTCATAAGGAACGTCAATTAAGTAATTTCAAAACTGCATAACGTAATAAACAAACAATAATTTTACAATAGAAATCAATATAAATTGCAACGGAGTAGAAAACACTGAGAGCCCTAATAGCATAGTTAGCAGCACAGAAAAGTTTGTTTATAATTTCAGCTGATCGCCATCCCTGTCAAGGCGCCATGCCGCCCTGCCTCACTGCCGTGGTTCGTTATATAGAGGTTAGGTTTGCAGGAATTTCGCTAAGTCGAGGTTCAGAACCAGCGTCGATCAATATAGGTCGGGACTTGACCTCATTAAAATACAGTACAATTAAAGTAGCATGGGCTACAATACTTTACAGTACAGTGTTTACATTGTACAGTAGAACCTAAATTATCCGGCATAATAAAGGGGAGGGATCTTGAATATTGCGCAATCATGACAATGGCATTGACCTTGGTACAGGTTAAAAACTATAAGTTTAAAATCACAGCTTGTTTCTAACCCTCCTAAAACCTAGCCAAACACTGTATTGCGTAGTCATAAATTATGTAAAGAACAAAACAAAACAGTAGAAAGTTTTGTAAGCTACTGCCCGCGATAGGCCGGTAGGCTACTTACAGTACAGTACTGATTTATCACAACAGAGGAATGTCAATAATAATCATTAACTATAGCATTGGTGTTGCTAATGCTAGTTGAAACAAATCGTATTGAAAACAATAAATTATTAGATAAGTCATTATAAAAGTGTATAATCATAGCCAACTTAAGGATAGTAAAAATACTCGTAAAAGGAATGTTAAAAAAACGATGTTGTTATTCTTTCTCTTTGGTTTTGTTTTTATATTCTTTCTTAGGTTTTTCTTTATCAAAAAAATTGTACAATTCACCATAGTTATCCCATATTGCCCAATCACAGCTTACTAAACATTACGTCGTCATCAGTCCTCAGTGAATGAAATCAGTTCTCAATTGCAACATAGCGCGCGCAGAGACAGCAGACAAAGATGTAAAACGGAGCAGACGAATGTTAGCGCAAGCGATGACGTGACCTTTCCATTTCATTTGATAAAGAAACAGATTTTCCCAAAACAATAATTGGGTGGGGGATTTGTTATATCGAGGGAAAGACGTAGACAATTTGTTATGCAGAGGTTAAATTCGCAATGTAGAGGTTCTGACAATGATAAATTTGTTATATTGAGGTGTCTTATTTTAGCCGAAATCACGAAAAATTCGTTAAATCAAGGTCGTTGTTATAGTTTGTTCGTTATGTAGAGGTAAAATATACATTGTGTCTTATGGAGAGTTCTAGGGGATTTAAAAAAATTCGTTATGTCAAGGAATTCGTTATATCTACCTATTCCACTTTACCCTCCATTTTTGTTTAATTTGTGAGGGATTTTTTGTTGTGGGTGAAGGGGGGGGAGGGGCGGCAAATTTTAGTTTGCCCCCACTCAAAAATTGTCTAGATCCGGCCCTGCCGCTTAATGCTTTTTACCATGCGGTTGGCATTCTGGGTTATAGTAGTACGTTTTCTGTGGTAAAGTAGATATACTTTCACATATTTTCTATTGTGTAATCAGCATTTGCATATTATTATGGAGAGAGGAAGTAGAAAACCTATTAGACATTCTGGCTCATTCTTCCATAAAGAATTTCTTTTCTCTCGGTCATAAATGTTAATAGCCTTATCTAAATATACAGTTCCGCCCTGTAGCCTACACTCTCTGTTCCAATTAGCTGCATTCAGTTGTGAATGATAGACTGTTGTAAACTACACTTCCCTGTATTTAGTCAGTCTTGACTACCTAGAATAGTGTAAGTGATTACGGAAGTTTCATGGTCAACTTTGTAAAATTTGCAGATATAGCTACGTCCTATTTAAAAGAATGCAGGTTAACTTAACAACACTTTTAACTTCTGTTAATACAAATCTAGAGAGTTAAGGGGGAAAACATGTATTGAAAAAGATTTGTTAATAGAAGCAGTAAAAATCTGCTTTATTGCTGTCAGCTTCTATGTCTATTGTCTCTTGTTCAGAAAAAATATTAAAATTGAATTTGTCTATAGCTAACCAGTATTATGTTCCTCCTTAAAAAAATTGGAGTAGACTAGTTTTATGTCGGGTTTACCAATATCAACCAACTCACCAAATGATAAATACAAAAGCCAATGAAATCACTTGAACTTAGTAATCTCAGTAAACTATGCAAATTTAAATTTAACTTTGAAGTTTATTTCTGGTACAGTGCTAATTCAGTATCATTCAAACTTCAAACTTCAGCACATTCAAAACCCTAAAGTAATGTAAAGGTTCTATTTTATATGGCTTTTGATCGTGTTTAGTTGAGTTTGAGTTCAATTAGCTAAGATAGGGTACAAATCTTAGAGTACACACAAAAATGGGCTGGTACCTGAACAAGTCTGTACGACTTTTGAAAACAGTATTCCCACAATCCTTGGAATAACAGCTATTTTCAGCTACACTCAGTAATCCATGCTAAATTTGTGGACGTACTGAGTTAGGCCGGGGCCACACTTGTAATTTTCAACCAGCGAGACTGTTTTTTCCGTTTTCACGTGCAACGCCTGTGAAACAGTTTGCCCGTGGCCACACTCGTCTTACGAGATAGGTTTTTCGAGCAAACCAGCGAGACTGATAGAGCATGCCACACTGGCAATAAAAATCGTCCGTGTCCGTAATACGCACTCCCCCCCCTTCCACGCTCTCTATACAGGTTAAAACTAGAAACGTCCGTGGAAAAAGTTCAGCGAGATAAGATGAGTGTGTTCACTCCCATAAGCCGCAATGCCCCGCGACTAGTTTTACGTGCAACGCCCGTGGGATGTTAGTAGAGAATACACGTGCAATTCCGTTTGTCAGTCTCGCTGGTAAAACCAGTGAGACTGACAAACGCGTTCACGGACGTTTTTACTCTAGTGTGGCCTGCCCCATATACCGTAATGTATCTCTCAAACCCACGGGTAACGCCCGTGGAAAAAATTCAGCGAGATAAGACGAGTGTGGCCCCGGCCTTAGCAAACCTCTACTGTTCTGCATTGGCAGAAAAATTCTAAACTTAATTCTTCTATGGCGGTAACCAAATAATTCATTATTATCAAAGTACTGTAATACAAATTTGATAACGTATAGCATCTCTTTACACTGTAGATACTGACCTTTTATGTTGTACACAGAGGTTTCCCCAGCTTGTGCAGCTGTACACAGTAGAGAAGTGGCTGCCTATCCATGCAGCTTGTATCAACAACCATGTACATATCATGGAGCTGCTACTCAAGTTCAACTATCCACCACAGCTACTCTCCACATACAGGTAATAAACCAGATGTTGTAGATGAGGCAGTCAAGACCTAACATATCCTGTTATGTCTGGATAATGATGTGGCTATTAATCGCATAATTCTCTTTAAAGTGTTGACATAAAATAGATAAAATATAGTGCCTCAAAAAATAATTGAAAACTATTATCAGAGCATTCCTACACTTTGTTTACATCCTGCTACATTAAAGTGAATATTCCATCTCTATTTTATTCATAATTTGCCTCCAGGATTGGTTAAATGACAACAATCATAGGTTACTAACCTGTTGTCAATCAATCCTAATTTGACAGGACGACTAGTTTCTGGCTTGACAATTGTCAAAAAAAAAAGGATTTGAAAACAGGGTTTTAACCCTGAAACTAGCAATCCACAACAAATTAGGATTGATTGACAGGTTTGTAACCTATTATTTTTGTCACTATATCTCTAGTTTTTTGTCTGCAATGGAGCTTTAAAATGAGTGCTATCATTGCACGGTTCTGCTATTTGTGAAGTGGGCTCTGTGATCAGATTTTTGTTTGCACCAATTCATATGTCAATTGAAATGTATTACCAGGTTTGGGGTTTTTATGGCAAAAGAGCGATGGATGAAGGCCAAGTGAGCAATCGTACTTGTAGTTTTCCAGGAACGTTGGTGCTGGAGCAAGTCTCAGTTTTTGCGATTATCTGTAAAAAACTAGAGGGCAGAAAATTTGTGGTACCATGTTTTTTATGCTATTTTATGAACCAAACTATGTGAAATTTGGAGAACGATTTCCATAATTGTGAACCAGCAATTGTCACAGATTTCGTTGTTTCCCTACTAGTTAAACAGCCACTAGACTAGGCCTAACATTGTGGTCCTGATCGTAACATTTGTTCAGATATTTTTTAAGTTAATGCTCCATTGTCACCCCACACAGTCTTCACTCGTCACTCTAGTGCAGTAAACACATCGCCTTATACATGGCGATAAATTTCAATTTGCTTTTGGTTTTTTTCCTAAAAAAAACTGATCACAGAGCATGCTGCACAACTCGTGGGATTTGTAATGACAGTGCTAATTTTAACACTCCACTACAGGAAAGATATTATTCGCATGCTCCAATGGCTGGATGCATACTGAGTGTGGAAAAGCTCTGATGCTAAGATGACGATGGTAGCAATGTCTCTAGCGGCGCACACATGAAACTTCTGTTTTCTAGACAGCCCTTGTACGTATAAGATAATATAATTGATTTTTAATGCCAGGAACACTAAGATGGAATATACAGCATTGTTTATAAACAAGTAAAAAATTGTTCAAAAAATAGAAATATTGATTTGATTAGTAAAAAAATTGCTTCAAGGATTTTTTAAACATGCTTTAAAAGGGCATTTACTCAGGGGAGGTATAGAAGAGGCTACGATGACAGCTGTGGGCTTCTTATTAGCTGAGGGAACGCCATTACCGTAACAAAACGATCAGTAGTCATCGGCTTCGGTGGTCTTATGGTTAGCGTGCCGGGCTGATATGCTGAAGGTCCCGGGTTCAAATCCCACTCGTGGCATTAACTTTTTGTCCAAGATTTTTTTATTATCAGCAAGTTTGGTTGGTTTGGTTCGGTTATGACAGTTTAATTTTATTATTAAGTCATTATAAAATTTTAATAGAGCAATTTCTAGTTTTATTTAATAAACAGAATTATTTTTTCTATTAATAAACTTTTGTTATATTATTTCATTATCAGCAAGTTTGGTTAGTTCGGTTAGGTTATGATAGTTTAATTTTATAATTAAAAAATAATAAAATTGAATTTGAGGCATTTATAATTTTATTTTATGAACAGAACTATTTTTGCGATTAGTAAACCTTCTTTGCCAAAGTACTCTCTACTACAGCGCTGTTCACGGAGGAATTTTGAACTAATGCCTCATTCGTAACTCCCCTAAGTCAGACCCCTTTAAAAGTATTAAAAATATCACAACCAGGTTGTATATGTATAGGGGTTTTATGATGGCTATACTGCATGTCAAAATTTTCTGGGCAAAAATTTAAAAATTCAGACAGTTTTGCAATCACAGTCAAAGCCTGGTAATCACAATACATTAAAGGAAAATCAGTGTAACCCTTTCAAAGTCAATCTTGTATATTTTAAAGAGGTTTAGTTTAAAGAGGTTAAAAGATGTCTTGGTCATATCTCGTAGAACACATACCTACCAAACAAAAATGGCTTTATTTTCTTTAGAAACATCTTCTTTTTTTTAAATAACCTAAGTGTGTAGTCATTAGTAAGTTTTTTTCTTGAATTGGGAATTCAGTTTTTGGTTGAATTTATGTTGAAGGGTTCGAGCTTATCATTCTAGTGACATGGAGACTTCATGGCTCAGTATCTGGGCAGCAATTCAAAATGACTTCCAGCTGTTGAGGTGGTTTGATCACTTGCATTTTGGGGTTTGGTTAACTCTGCTAACAGCTGGTTGTCTTTTGGTTTTGTGTGTTTTTCATACTAGACTTGCCTTTAAAACACTGATAATGGGTACCTATGCAAAAGTGTCATGATCATTATGTCATTTTGAGCTGTTCTTGTGATGTTAATAATGTATCCGGAAATTAGGAAAAAGTGTGTTACCACCAGTAAGCGTGTTGTGGATAAGTTTTGTATGGTTTCTGTCCCATTCCATTTATTCAACTTTCCGCCACTACATATGACACAATGTTGTGTTAAATCAGTCACAATGACTCAACAGGTATATGCTATACACTCATCACTTACTAACATTAAAAATAGAATGTTGAATTTCTATTTTTTGACATAACGTATTGACTGATCAAAATTTCAAGCACTTAAAAATTGGGTTTGCTTGGAGTCAGTGGCATAAATAATAACCCTTGCAACCCCCGCAGTGCAGAGGGGGGGAGCGCTTAGCTTAGGTCCAATTCTCACCGCCCACCTCAATCGGTAAAAAGGTGAGATTGTTTTCGTGACCGCGGTAGAGGAAGATAATGTCTTGCAAGATCAAAGAATTAATTTATGATTTTGACGCAACCACTGAAAAAAATTACGTTGTTTTCTTGACCGTGGGAGACGAACATGATGTCTACAAAACCAAAGAATAAATTCAGGATTTTGCTGCAATCACGGAAAAAGATGACATTGTTTCCATGACCGCAGGAGACGAAGATGGTGTCTTCAAGACCAAAGAATAATGCATGATTTTGCCGCAAGTCTACATGAACGCAGGAGATATTTAAGATTCGGCCACAATCACGGAAAACGATGACGATGTTTTCATCACCAATGTATGGAAAACTATGGAGGTGATGAAAAACATTCGCGAGATTTTTTGGATTTTTCCGCGATCACGGCTTTTGCTGAGATAAACGAATAAAACATAAGTGGGGACGTTTTACACATGTCCTGTGGGGGTCTCCACTCATTGTACTTACGCCACTGCTTGGAGTGCTGTGCTGTTAACTCATGAAAAAATCTTGATATGTAGTTTTAGTAAGCAAGGTTTTCTGCATTACATAAATGCAAATTAATTATAATGGCTATAACTATCTTATGTCAAAAGAGATTCCCCAAAAGTCATATTTTACTATTTTTTGCTGAAGTATCATAATATCTTAAAATGTAAAAAAATAGTACATAAAAAATATATTTATTTATAACTGTACTAGACGTTAATCTGATCGTTTCCCTAAAAACCTTTGATTTCTTTCATTGTCTAAAGTAAATTCTTTTATTAAGTGCAATATCAAAACAATTTTGTTATTGAACTAGTAGTATCAACAACATATGAATATGAAAATAACTAATGGTTTGTGTGTTACAGGGATGGAGATTGGGAGTATCAGCTGGCTTTTGACCTCAACATGAAGGATGTGACAGGTCAGAATGTGCTGTACCTAGCATGTCTCCTGGGCAACTACAAGATGGTGGATCTACTACTCAAGTTCAAAGTCAAGGCTTCAAGGATCAAGGTAAACAACTTCAATGATTTACTTCAATCAAACTTTTTGTAAATTAAGTTACATATTTAATCAATAGATTAACAATCTAGGATAGGTGAAGATAAGAAATAGTGATCAACACTGTCAGTAGAATTGCTGCTTCATTATTTCACCTCAGTTCAAATCTTAAGAGCTGACTCTGTAGTTGTTCCATGGAGTGTAGAAGAAGACAGGTGGTATAGACATACAGTTCCTGTAAGTTCCAGGGATGGCGAGTGTGGCAAAGCCATAACAGTACCAAAAAGACTGTTTTTAACATATGTTATTAATACCATATGTTGTGATTATAAAAAGAAAATAAAGTGAGTTGGACTATTGAATTATTTGCAAAAAGATAATGTTAACTGAAACTGAAATACTTTAATTGTCAAAAATAAAACTTCTTTCACACTTCCACATTTATATATTTACTTAAATTAGAACAAACTAATAACTCCGCGACAGCCAGTTTTTAAAGAAGTTAAAAAAAACCCCTAATACCGAGAATTGTTGAAAAGTGTTGGCATAGACTAAGCAATACAAGTAGACTCCTCATCCCATTGCAAATTTTGAAGCTTTTTTTTCGTGTCTAGTTCATGTACGTCCACACTGATCGCTGGGGTAGACAAAATTTTGTTTCTATCATTTTAGGATTATTTTCATGATTTGTGCTTTACTATGTGGTTATATAACTAGGAGACCAGTTATTGTTTATGATTATATCGTTTTATTTGGTTAAATGGGGTTTTAAATGACTGAAATTACAAGAAACAAATTGTAAACAAAACACGACCTGACCTCTACAGTTGGATGTACATAACTAACAATAAAATTGGCTTCAGCTGTTCCATAAGGATGACAAATCTACTAAGGGAGTACATATGTATCTATGGTGTGGGCTAGATTTTTTGGTTACCATGCCATATTTTTGCTGCAATTGTGGGATACAATAATGATGTCTTAACAATTACATGGGACAGTCAAGATTGTACTGCAATCGCAGGAGACAATCATGATGACTTTGCAATCGCATGATTTGTTTATCATTATGCTATGATCACATTAGACGATGATGATGTTGTCACGATTGCAGGAGATGTTCAAAATCTTGCCGTGATAGGGAGAGATGATTGTGATAGTTCTGGGATCATGGATTATATTCATTATGACGTTATGATAAATAAATGCACACTTTGCTAAATTTATGATCACTAAAGCTAATACTGCTTTTCTATTGGCAACCATTCAAGGGATGCAATCAAACACTATATAGTTACAATGATTAACTATTTTTATTGTCACATAAACTAGCCGCTTACCGTGTAGTTTGGAAAATAATAACCATTTTCTTTCAAAAAAAATATTTTATGTCCATCAACCACAGAATACATTGATTAGAGCCGATAGAACATTAGTGTCGCTGTAAGGCTAACTAATTATTCACTTAAAGTTTCCCAAAACTTCTATAACTTTGTCATAGGTGGATACACCTAAAATGAACTGTGATATTTGGAAACAACAAATGATGAAATTAGATATATCATAACCAAAAACTTGAATTGAGGAGTAGCCGGAAACATGCGATTCAGCTTCTTTTGGTTGTTTTGAAACAGCTTTCACCTTTGAGGCTCCAACTAATTGTGATACGCTTCTTCTATTCTGACTGTTTCTGTTACTGGGATCTCTCTCGGATAGTTTTCTTGTACATATATTGCTAGATTCTCTTGTGCTGTTTTTTTGGTTTGTAGGAATTTCTTTTTTGACCTTAACACTAGACTTTTTGTCTTGTACCACGTTTTGAACAGTTTCATGATCACGTTTTAGTTCACTAATAGGTTTATACAAACTGCCTTGTGCCAAGCTTTTTTTATCAAACCTTTTAAAGACAGAACTTCTTTCCATAGTTGTACTTTTTGGCATGTTCTGTACATCTTCTAGAAGGTTTTTGTCTTCCGTTCTGCTGATCAAACTCTTTTTATCCTTCAAGGATTCTTTAAATAGTTTTCTATTAATCGTGCTTGTCTCTTCCTGCCTATTTTCTGACACAGCACTTTTATTTGGACTGTTGAAATTGGTTCCTATCTCATTATTTTGTGTAACTATTAGTTCTTCTTGTGGAGTATTTGGGAATACTCTACTTATTTTTGATCCTTCATTAGCTTTGCGTTGCACTTGGCTACCCCTTGCACCTGATATATCTCTTACAGGTTTATCCTTGTCTATATTAGTTTCCTCTTTACTTTGAAGTTTGAACAGCTGACTTTTCCTTTGTTCTGTGTTTTTGATTTCCTCTGAAACACCACCAGTTCCTTTAAGAGTACTTTTATTGATATCCATCTGGTCTCTACTTAGATTTTCATTAACCTTACTTTTCCATTGAATTACACTCTGCCTCACCATCAATGATTTGTTTCCCCCTGTATCATTTTCAGTGCCCTTTTCAGTAACATTTGTATCTGAGAGTGGAATTTTTAAATTGCTATTTCTCTTATTATCTTGGTTGATTAGTATGGTGTTGTTTTCATTCTTTGCTACACTTAAACGTTGTTCTCTACCTGTTTCAGTTCCTTTTACTAAGCTTCTTTTGCTACTCTGTAATGTTTGGTTTTGTACCGACTGTCTGCTTCCAGTATTATCTCTTTTCATTTCATTTTTGATCTCTTCAGGTTGCATCAAACTCTGTCGTTGAGGAACATTTGTTCCTTTAATTGTTTTGCTTTCTCTTACAATACTTGGAATATTACCCAGCACTATTTTTTCTGTGTCAGGCCCTTGACTTTTAAAACAGGTGTTATCTATATTATCATTTTTAATTTCATTATTTACCGATTTACTGATTGCACTCTCTTTAAAAGAGATAGGCCTATTAGATTCCTCTAAGGGTTTTGTGTCTTTTGAGTTTTCTTTATTCATTCCCAACTGTTTGTTCGGAGCTTCATTGTAGCAAGAAAAACTGTTATGAACATTCATTGCTGATTCAGTTATTGGAATTCCTACTTTTGAATAGTTACTGTTCCCAACATTTTTGTCACTAATTTTGTTTTTTTTAAACATTGATGATATAGATCTAAACGACATTTGAGATTTATTATTACTTACTGATTTAGTTCTTGAGTTTTTCTGTTTTTCTCTCACTTCATCAAAAGTACTACTTGTTTCACCTTTTAATTCTTCAGGCTCTTGTGCTTTTCCTCTAGACATTATTGATGACTTTTTATCATTTTTAACACTCTTTCTCTCCTTGGGTATTGGTTTTGAGGAACTAACACTTGCGATTGAATGGTTACTTCTAATTTGGTTTGGATTTGATGTCATATTAGTTGAAATTTCACTTTTTCTAGTTCCGGGCATTCTTAATATTGAAGGCAAATAAGTATATGAACATTTTGATTTAGGCTTTTTTGAAACTTTGGTTATCTCAGATTCACTGTCTACGCTGTTTGGCATGTGGTTTAAATCTGACAACACACTTTCTGCCTTTAATACTGATGACCTTAGCTGCCTATTTTCATTAATATTACTGGAGCGCTGTGGGTTATTGATACTTTCCTGAGTTACATTTTCAAAGATACTTTTGCCTCCTGCATTTACAGAGTATACCTTTACACTCTCCACGGGGTTTAATAACTTGTCAATATTTGTATCGTCAAATAACTCATTGTTAATATTTTTAGAATCCAACACATTATTCTTGTTTTCCATTACAATGACTGGTAAGTAAACCACTCTAGACATGGATTTTTGGACTGAAGTAATCCCGGTTTGATTTTTAAATGCCAGTATTGGGATTTTATCATAGTCGGTTACTGAGATCAGCTTTTCTATAGTCTCATTTGGCGATTCTTTGTTGAATGGTCCAGAAGTGACAACCTCAGTTGTGTTTGTTGAATATATTTGGTACTTTGGTTGATTGACTTTAATATCTGTAGGTTTCTGGTTTTCACCCTCTGTGTCTGTCACTGACTCCTCCAGCAAAGTCTCTGGCTCTGATGGGTTAGTTAAATTGTGATAATGTTGATGTTTGATACTAAATGGTTTATGTTTTTTTGGTTGCTGAGCATAATAAACCTTAAGGCTACCATCAAAGGAACTGGTCCCAATATCTGTTGGCTTTTTTGGAGCTCTATTATTTGATTTGAATTTACGATTGTGGCTTTGTCTTTGTTTTGGCAGGTAATCAAAGCTGCTACGGTTATAACCAGATTCTCCTATAGTGTATGCCGAGTCTGTATCTGGGTATCTCGTACGTCGTGGAGATTGCTGATATTGGCTGTATTCACTGTCATCTGAATCATACTTGTAATACTCTTTTTCCGCTTCATATAAATTACTGGAGCCATAAAGATAAGGATAACTGTATACATCCTTAGTTCTTCCATTATAAAAATCATCATGTGAGGAATAATCATATTCCTTGTCAAATTTTACATGTTTTGAATTCTTGGAATTCTTAGAAAATTCCCACGTTGATGACACCAGTGATGTTTCTGATTCAGAATATATGTCATATTTAGGCCTATAATATGGACTACTTTTTTTGTGATACTTGGGCTCTTTTCGGTAGGACATGTTCTTGAAATGACTCCAGGATACAAAATCAGTCACCCTGATAAATGTATATCTGGAATACAATATAATACAGAATACAATAAAATAACTTTGATCAACAGCTTCAAGCATAGAATGGTGTCATCTGAAACAATCCATCAAAAATAATTTTACGCCACACTACATTATTTTGACAAACTTCCCATGCAAGGATTTAGTCCAGAAAACAGCTGTTTGCCGCCAGCTTATTCAAATGGGGTTTCATTGCGTACTACTGTGCTGCAATGAGTTTTGCCGGACACCAATCAGCTGATTATACTGTATTTAGGTGGCAGTGAGTGGTTATAAACAAAAACATAACCTCTCTTAGAGGTTATGACTAGTGATTTTTAGTCCTTTAGTTGGTGGAAATATATAAGGATTTGTACGGATTTAGTAGTATTGCGTAAACTATCGTACGTAACTCGTCCAAAATGTGTGTACCGGACTCGTATGGTAATCCCGTACTCGACTTCGTCTCGCACGGGAACGACCACACTCGTCCGGTAAACACTTATTTTCAGGACTAGTAACGTAATATACTATAACATCACACTGTAAGAATAATACAAATTTATTGTTTCAATACAATAAGAATAACTATCAATTTTTACCACGTGTACGTACCTGAAGCAACTGCTAGTATTGGGAGGTCATTTATTCTTTCTAGAGGACATATATAAGCAAGTTCCTGCATTACAGAATCTGACCAAATCTTAGAGCCCAAGCTTATCTATTGCTGTGATTTAATTCTCAGTTTTCTAGACTGTTTACCCAAATTCAACAGTAAAATTAACTTTGCTCCCCTTTATGTTTTCAGAAAACTCTTTAGAAAGGTCTTCACAATCTTCACTATATCAATTTGAATACTTATTTCTATCATATTATCTGTGTATGTCGGCTTAGACAGCAAACAGAATAAGGGAACTTGTATCCCTGCTTAAGGTGCGTCCACACCTAGGACGAACATTTCCCTGTTCATCAGCATACGTTATATGATCGCTTGGTGTAGAAGCCTCGGGGGTAGCGCATCAACATTTTTGTTTAGCCTAAATGCGTATTGCACATTTTTGTTCTGAACTCTATAAGCAAACTTTTGTCAAGTTCGTTGAAAGCAGCCCTTTCTATTGTGACCCATTTTTATGTGCAGCCTGTTTTTATGTGTATACTGTGAAAGTTTGTGTGGTGTTTGTAATTTTGTATCATTATAATGATGAATAAAGACCAGTTTTGGATCAAGTAAAACATTGTTACTTTAAATTAAGTTGTATGAACAACACAGCATTCTGTGGAACCCATGAGAAGTAAACTACAAAATAGACTTAATGACAGCTTAAGAGAATCACTAGAGGAATTGGGGCTGGTTTGGATTTCATAAGAAAAAAATCTAAAATTTTTTAGCACCGAATAGGAAAGAGAAAATTTTTTTTTTCGTACGTCTTCCTGATAAGTAGGCTAATTGAAAATTCTTTTCTTGCCGCCTTTATTATGTGGCCCAGGGTAGGGTTTCATTATGTTTTCATGAATCACTAAAGCGTCATCCTCTACAATTATGAAAGGCACCGCAAAAACCCTACCAGGTTCTCAACATATAACCAGGGGTGCCCACAAGGGGGGGCTGTGACGCAGACTGCGTCATTGAAATTTTGGGGGGGGGGGGTGTGGCTAAAGTTGATTGCAACAGGGTTCAACGTGACGACAATCAAAAATATTTTACAAGTCACCAGATAGAAAGTGGATTAATTAATGTCAATAGTTATATTATTGAATTCAAGTAGTTAAAATAGGATTTTAGGATAGTTTAGGATTCGTGTAGGAAGTTATTATTCAAGATTAGACAGACGTGAGATCTAGGAGGGAGGGCACGGAATAGCTTAACTGCTGAGATAGATAAAGATAACGTGTGGTACAGACAGGTCCAGCTACACCGCGACTCAGCACAGAACGCTGTGTTTGTTTACATAAAGCTCATTAAAATACAATCAAGTAGCACAGGCTACAATACTTTACACTATTGTGTATATATTATAGATACTCGATTACCTGAGCTAGTGGGGGGGGGGAGGTAATAAAAAATGTGGTTAATCCCATACAGTATAGAAACAGATGACAAACCAAACAAAATTAAAAACTCTGTAAACAGCCTTTAACGTCATGATTTGCATTTTTATAAACGAAATTCAATATTACACAATCATTATTATTGTGCAATTATGACATTTCAAATTATTTATCTTGGTTCAGTTGTACAAACGGCAACGTTTAAAATTATAGCTAACTCAAACTCAACTAATAACTAGCCAAACACTGAATTGCTATAAATAACGTAGGCCTAAATATTAAACCTTAGAAAGTGTTATTAGCTACTGCTCATGATAGACAGATAGGCTACCGGTAGGTGCTGTATCACAACATAGGAATTGATAGATAAGTATTAAAAAAGTTTAAAATTATATTTAGAGATAGTAAAAATACTCTTAAAAAAGAATGTAATAAGAACAATCTTGTTATTCTTTTTCTTTGTTCTTCTGTCATTTATTAGGTTTCTCTTCAATTCATACACAAATTCAACAAGTCGCCATTATTTAAGCCTACTCGTTGCCCAATCAGAGCCTTGATTCCCCAGCCGTTGTATCTCAAATCTGTTGTAACATAGCGCACAGCAGACAGACTGAGCAGACGATTGTTGGCGCAAGCGTTGTTTCCTTTTCATTTTCATCAAAGGAGCTGTGATGTTTCAAAAGGGAGGGATAGGGGGTCGTTAAATCAAGAGATAGACGCTGACAATTCGTTAAGCAGAGGTTACGAACGCTATATTCTGGCAATAATACATTCCTTAAATTGAGGTGACTTATAAAACTCTAATTTCATTTATATAGAAAGATAAGTTTTCCAGTCCTGTACAACATTGATTCACGGTCTTTCCCCGGTAATCAAAATTCAAGTACAACTTGATACACACAGAATCTCCGGTTCCCGACCTAGATGATATGGCTAGTCATTTAATTTAATTTACAGTTGCATATTACCCGTGATAAATCAAACCTGTTATGTGAGCCAAAGTCACACGGTTATTAATCTCACTTGGTTTTGGATTTGTTTACAAACGTGATCGGAAATGGTTACAAACGTGATCGAATTGGTTAGGGCCTACAATCGTGGGGCCTGGGTGTAGGCACATGACCGAGGCTGTAATCCTCTTAATCACGGTCGGTTGACCTGTCAGTTTTAGGTTGGTGTCGAACGCTTCCACATCATACCATGCATAGCCGAACTGTTCGCGGCAAATTGTTAGCTCTATCACCGTCGCTGTCAAAACGTATCGTTTGTAGGTTAAATTTAAATTTAATTCAACTGTCATAACCTAACCGAACTTGCTGATAATGAAAAATCGAATGAAGGTTTACTAATAAAAAATAGTTCTGTTCATAACATAAAACTACAAATGCCTAACATTTAATTTTATAATTTTTTAATTATAAAATTAAACTATCATAACCTTACCAAACCAACCAAACTTGCTGATAACTAAAAAATCGAATAATGGTTAATAATCGAAAAATAGTTTTGGTCATAAAGTTATAAATTATAACAAAAGATGTACAGTTAAGAAGTAATCACATTCTAAGCGAAATCTTTGACAAAAAGTTAACGCCTCCGGTAGGATTCAGAATTCTCGATTCCCCACCCCTCCACTGGTGACCACTACCCTCAGGCCAAAGAGGCCATAAATCAGGGGATTAACTCAAACAAAGATCTGGGACGCTGTCCGTCTCCCGTGGGGCCTACACAGTATTCGTAAACAACATTTATGTAAACATATCAGTGACATCTAGAAAAAGGAATCTTTATCAAAACAGCTGTTCGTAATTTCATATATGACGTGTTCTCTTAACAGATTATTAGCATTTCATAAATGACGTATGTAGTAAACATGGAGAAAAAAACTTGAAAAATCACACAAAACTGTGTTTTTGATAGTCTGTTATTTTATTTCCAAAATAGTGAGGCCATATTTTAATGGCTAAGGACACTCTCGCCAATCCTGTGAAGTGTGAATACAATTAAACCATTAGAATCATAATCAGTACTCTAGTTTTCTTTAGAATAGGCTGCGTAAAATGCCTTCTGGGCCGTGACAGACGGACATAAATTGAGATAAGACATGTTTCAACTTCTTCAATGTATAGAACGTAAAAATAACCCAAAATATGTATAATTCTGAGCAATGTACAGACAAAACAACATCTTTATTTATATAGATTAACTAGGTTTGAATTTGACATTTGATACCTATTTTATTTTAATATCTCATTTGAATTTTCAATATCTAAAAAAAGTATAAAACTTCTTTTAGTTTTACAAATAATGCTGGGCGGGGAATAATCTTTCTCCATTTATGAGGGGGGGCTGTTGCTCAATTGGAAGGGGGGGGGGGTTGCGTCATGAGTCTAGGGGGGATGGGCACCCCTGATATAACCTTAAGATAACTGCTAATTGAGCTTTCAAACTTATTGATTCATTGATTCACAAAAATGTGTATTCTTTTTTGAAATTTTAGGACCTATCTATACCAGCATTTCAAAATCAGAGTTTGACATGCGAGTAAAGTTGGAGAGCAAGCAACCAGCTATCAAGTCTGCTCTGAAGTACTGCCCACTATATTCGTGTTGTCTTCTTAATAACTGTCTCTGTTACCAGCGACAACACTGTTGTTAGCTGATAAGTAATATGCACTAGAAACATCAGTAGACAAAAGTAAATGCTGACGCCTACGCACATCAATCTTCACTAACAAAAAACCTAAATATGATAAATGAAATTAAATGAAAAATTATTTATCTATACACTATACAGTCAAAGTTTATACTGAGCTTAGAGCGATTATCATAATTATATTGTACGTCGAACGGCTGCACTTTACTTTACGTCCTACACTCATTCGAATGAAAATATCGATTATTCGATTGTTTCATTCGATATATTGGTTGGTTAGTTAGGTTAGGTTAACCTTACCTAACTAACCAAATGATATAACTTATTGAATAATCGATATATCGATCGATATTATTTTCATTCGAATGAGTGTAGGACGTAAAGTAAAGTGCAGCCCATCGAACAACTTAAATATATGTTCAGTGTACCAGTATATCTCTTTTTAGTTTGGCGAACAAATTATATTTAAAATGTTCTTAGCGAACGTTTGCCTCAATTGGATGCACCTTTATATGAAGAGAGACGTATGGCGAGGGAACTAAATACTATTTTAAAAACTAATCCAGCTTGATTAACTGATCACTAGTGGTTAAGAAGTACAGAAGTATGGCAGGAGCATGAGACACCACAGAACATAAAAAAGTCAGATACATTTCTTCAGATAACTTACTCAAGGTGTTATTCCAGGCAATGAAATTTTTCTAAGTGTCAGATCTAAACAATTTTCTCAACTTGGAGTAACTTTTAATCTATAACTCCATATAATATTTATACTAAACATAAAAATTTTAATATTTTTTAATACAAAAATATTTTTAAGTATAACACTTGCAGTATGATACAATTTTAAAAGTTTGTAAACAACTAATTGGTAAAAAAATAACAATCTTATAAGTTACAGCTGATGTAACCTGTTTATTACTTATGTAGGCTGCTTACAGACCCGGAGTCAGAACATTTTTATGGTAAAAACCATGGATAAAACAAAACCATTCTGAGGCAGTTGTAACTAGCAAACAAAGAAACACATAGCATTGTGCTCCATCTCAATCCACTCTCCACCTGTATCCAAACCTTAAAATTGTGCAGATGTTGAATAAATGTAAGTTAAATTTAGCAGTTTACCCTTATTTAAGAAAAACATTTTTATAATAGGCCTAGAAGAGTTTATTTCCATTTATTATAACAAATTAAAAAAATGGTTTAACCTAAATAGTAAGTCTCCAGTCTGTTATTTTTGTCTTCATATCCATACATTGAATGGGTTTGTAAAAAGTACAAAAACTAATAAAAGTACTGTATAGTAGTTTGTGAATGTACAAACAAAAAGTACAGACATACTTTGGTGTCAGTACATCAACAAACTATACAATGCCTTTTATTGTAGTGTTGAGATGCAGGTAGTAAATGACACTTGCTGAAATCTTTGTCTCAGATTACTGAAATAAAATAAAATTACCTGCTAACTTAATGAAATATAACATTTAGTCCTGATTAAACTTAACATAAACCTTGACCCTTTGAACCCTTATGCCCCCAGTACACTTTCACCGAGACAAGGCAAGCGAGTGTGAGTGCGAGAGTATACTCAGTGCGTTCGGCTTCTCTTGCCCTGATTCGGGTTGTCTCACCTCGGCAACTATAGGCGCTCGCTTGCCCACAATCAAATCTATGTATACCGTACAGCAATAATAATAAGACAAAAAATATTAGCCCATATTTGAACAGAATTGTTTTTATTGTACAAACAATAACTATAAAATATCTTCACTGTAAAACATTTCAGCCAGATTTATAAGTTTGTCAAAGCTAGTTGCTCCCAAAATGTACGTTGCTGCTTGAAAACCAATTTTTATGACAGTTTGAGAGTGTTGAAGTACTGTAGAAGATTCCTCAAGCAGGGTCTTCTCTGATTCGTTCATTTCAAATTGCTGAGAATTATTTGCACTTAGCAAGTGCAAACTTTTTTCAGGGGGTGGATAAATGACTTCTAATGGTGGATTTTCCTCCCTCGCATTTGCAGATAAATTGTCCAAATCAGGTTGAGATTGGAAATTGTTTACATCCTCAAAATGTAAATCATTAGAACATGTTGGAACAGCTTTAAGCTCATCTTCTTTTATATTGTCATCATATTTAAGTACTAGAGACTTCTTAAAAGGTTGTGTCTCTATTGGAATGTTCGATGTCTGCATTTTCATAATATGTTTACTAACTTCTTGAGATCCATTTGCATTCTCCTCACATACCTTATTGTTTGACTGACTTTCTCCCTTATCTTTCTTATCTTTTGGTATTTTTACTCTTTTTAATATCTCTCTCTTGAATTTACTCTTTGTGTTGGATAACAATTCTTTCTTTTTTCTGTTTTGAATATTTTTCTCTGAATTTTTATTTATATCATCCACCAATATGTCTGTTGAATATTTGTTGTTATTTGCTACAAAAAATACTTCCACATCATTCTGCCTTGGAGATGGGTTCTTAAATTCTTCTTGTGGCTGCATCGTGGTATAATCAGTTCCCATTCTGTAACTATTTTCATAAAATTCTGAATCTTCGTGAATAATTCCACTTATCTCACCCGTTATACATTCCTCTACTTCCTCTGAAGGAGTGAAACTTTGATACAAGTTTAAATTATTTTGACTTGAAACCGGTATCTGGGAATTTCCTGGGATTTTTTTGTCCTGTGAAGCTACACTGAAAATTCTTGAAACCAAACTAGGTTTTCTGTTGGCCATTTCTTGTTTTTGGGAAACATCAGAATTGTAGTTATCACCGAGGTTATTTGATGTATTACAAGATGTTGAACTAATTTCTTCTGTTTGATCTTTGCCTGTCATTATTGGACTTACTCTTTTATATTGAGAATTATTTGACAAACCGTTATTTTCTGGTGAGTTGTTTGTTATGTTTATAATGATGTTTTGCCCATCATCAATCTGTTCTACATTTAAATTCATGTTTGGTACATTTTTACACTTCTCTTTTGACGCTTTGTTTTTACATGGTTGTCCATCCACACTAATTGTATTCATTAAAGTGTTTTTTCTTTCATTTTTTATTTTATTTTTCTCTATTTCAAGTATCTGGTCTTTTATAGAGTGAGAACGTGTTTTTTTAGCATCACGATGGGCTTCGCTTTTATCTTCATGATTTTCTATTGCAGTTAGTGGAATACTACTTTTTTTCCTTTTAAATTCCTTGGAGACCCTTATTAACGACAGCAGAGCACCAGCAGGGGTAGATTTTGGTACTGGATGAGCAGCAATTAAGGATTCATAGCTTTTAACAGACATTGCTGTTTCCAACCGTGAGTCATATAACTTCTCTTTAACGTCCTCCTGTTGATTGGTTTTTGATGTACTTTGTTTATTCATACAATCATTTGTTTGTCCTGTTTTTGAACATCTTGTTTCATTGTTTAATTTATTTGTCTTGTGTTCAAAAACGTTACTCTGGTCCATACTCAGGGATGGATAGACTGCCATGAGATATGATGAGTTGCCCATTGCATCAGTGTTGTTAGCAAACGCTCCAGGGAGCACACCTATCTTGTTGTTGTTCTGGACATAGACTGGCAAGTAGAACAGTTGAGTTGTACCATTAGCAATATTAGCACTCACGTCTCCAGTAATCTGTTGGATATTGTTTAGTTGGGACTCTGTTAGTGCAGAGTAGATTTTAGGAGAGTCACCTTGTTGCTGTTGATCAAATGATGTTTTTGGTAAACTGTTTTTCATGGTTTTGTCTTTTACCTCATAATCTCCTAGTGGTTTTGATTCCTTCGGTGGAATTCTAAACACTGTTTTTTCTTTGGCCTTTGAACTCTTAGTCTTTGGTTTTTTAAGGCCAATTTGGCTCTGATATTGTAAGGTAATTGGTTGTGGGCTGATGTAAACATTATAATCTCCTCCATTAATAAATCCTCCGTTTTCTATCATAAATTTCCTCTTTTGTGTGGAACTATTGTTTTTTTTATGTGCTTTGTTGTGATTGTATTGTAAAGTGTCTAATTCTTTTTTATTTATTACTTTGCTGTTTCTCTCTTTTTTATATGATTTTTTTGGAATCAACTCAGTTTCACTAGGGTTTGAATTGCTACCTGAGCCTGATTCATATTGTGTCTTTTCAGTATCATGTGAGGAATCTGATTCAAAAGAAAGGTCATTGTATTTGTACTTGTGCTCCTTATAACTGTCCCTGTAATATGGGGAACTAAATGATCTTTTGTATGAACTTTCCTTGTTGTGAGGTTTAATACTTCTACCAAATCCTTTCTTATGCTTTCTCAATATTTGTTCTGACTCTACATCAAAGTCTAACTCTAATTGGTTAGCAGCTTTACTTCTTTTGAAATAAAGTGGCTGTTTACTTGTCATGTTATAACTATAGCTGTAACACCCAGATCGTAACTATAACTGGAACAGGATGTATGTATGTAGCTTTTACTTAGTTACAGCTAAGTAAAGTTGTCATATCTCACCAAGATAAGACACAAATTGTTTATAACATCAAAAACAAAGAAAGCTTATCAATTTCAGTGTTAATTTTTAGCAAATACTTAAATACATCTTCATATCACATACTTGCGCAAAATATTTGGTTTAATGTGAAGAAGTGGGAAAGTTTCCTCCAAGTCGTTAGCAAAATTGCACTGTGACTTTATTATCACAAGCCTAAAACATTTTTCACTACAAAATTTATACTATATAACCTAAAAACATAACTAATATTTATAAACAAACATTATAGAACCTTTTTATAAATAACAAAACTTTTACAAAACAGCTGCAGTTTGATAAAAAATAATCTCTTTAATCAGTTACATATGGATATGTCTATCACTAACCAAAGCTTCAACCAATAAATTAAACTTTGTAAAAGCAATGTTCACACCAGCTGGTAAAAAATGATAAAACAATATTTACTTTGGATACCACAATGATCTTATCATATTGCTTGTTTCATCTGTATCAGAGGAAGAGCAAAACTAATACAAGACTGTTAAAAAGCTAAGCTGCTGTGCAAATTCCATCCAACCAATTTAAAGGCAGATAAATAGGACATTTTTGACCTGAAAATGCATCTAAGAGTTTAAAATATTTAAAAAATCATACTAACTAATAAGTTTATCAACAGAAATCTGTAACCCAACCATTCACAAGACAGGACCTACTGAGCTAACAACATCCAAGTAGCAGAGCAAGTATGATGCAACTTAACAGAAAAATATTATTTCATTCACTGATGAAATGAGAGGATGATAGTGGTGATATTAGTTTGTTTCTGGAAAATTTTGAGCTTGCTGTGAAAAAGCTGTTAAAGTCATTTAAATTTGTAGCCATTGCAGGTGATTTTAACATAGAAATGATAAAAATGGAAAAAAAGACATCTATTGAATTTGCCAATCTGTTGCGAAGTCTAAATTTAGTTTGTACAAATAAAAAACCTACAAGAGGAAAATCATGTATAGATAATATAATTGTAAACTTTTCATCAGATTTATATAACATAAATACAGTAGGAGGTTGTTTTGCAGACCATGAACCTTTAATATTAGATTTTTTTCAGAAAACTATAAAACAATGTAACAACTCAAAAGAAGGAACAAAACAAATAATGCGAAGGCAAAATGAAAGTAATATTAAACACTTTGTTGATCAATTGGTACAAGAGAAATGGGAAATGATAATGGACTATAAAATGGGTAAAATAAATGAGCAATTACTTTTTGATGAAT